ATTTACAAAATATTTAATCCCTATTCTATGCCTAGGATGTCACATTATACCAGACCCCAGTTTTCAATGCAGGAGTTCTGCACTGTTTATACAGTACTGTCTGTTACGATACTGAAAAAATGAGGGTGAGAAGGAAACAATACCGTGCCACAAGAACGCAACGGGTCACCGTTGTACAGCTGACAAACCATTCGAACAACTTCCGCTTCCATCTTGCGAACTCCTGGAAACAAGTCCGGGTGAAGTGGATTCGTCCAACAGAATTTTCTGACAATCTAAAAGAATTTGACGATATAACAAAGGTGAATGTGACGTCGGCAACAAAACATAAATTTAACCGCTTTGTACGCTTCCGCATGGTTCACACATTAACTTATCTACAGGCTCAAAATCTTAATGATACTAAAACAATACAAAAGCAACGGTTCATGTACATAGAATGCAAAATAGTTAATTTTGACGGATGACAGACCAACAGTGATATTTTGGTCAATACCTACGAGTCTTCTTCGAGGTATGGTTGATGGTTGCCTTGCACTGTATATAAATGAAACCATTCTGTGCCGTAGTTCAGCATAAGTACCAGTGTACTCCCGGAATATTCCACTCTTTATTGAACACTTGAACAGTTTTAGACACATGGTTACGATGCCCTAAAATATTTACCAAAGGGTAGCTTAATCACGTATCAAGAAACTGTTCTGTTGAATCACTACTGAGCCAGAATTCAAATGTCTTTCAAAAACTGTCTTAATTATACAATAGTCCATTTGCCTTTACCAGTTAGTTTTACGGCATCTGATGCACGTCATTTGAGCGCTGTCAGTAGCAACGGCAATCGCTAGGATCGCTAGGTAACGTAAGATAGAGTCTGTTCTCCTCAGCACCTGCGGCGTCCGTCTTTCGGCTGGTTGCACCAGCACGCACTGGAATGAATCCAATGTTCAACGTAGCTGGCAGAAAATAAGAAAACATTTGCCTCTTAGGCGCAGTATAAACGTTTTTTATTGACTATTAACTGCTCTGAGTAGTACAATCCCTGACTGTGTTTCGATGAAACCATAAGAGAGAAAGGCCGTCGGTAGATCTCACTAAGAAGTTCAGAGGCAAAACTTTATCCTCTTATTTATGTGAGGAAAATTTCTGGGCGGCAAATTCGGCATTTGACTTTCTTTTAAATCTTTTTCAGTAACACGCGATTCTGAAGTTTTGTAATAACAGTTATTCCTCCAAAAATTCATATCAATTCAGTTCTAAATGACACAACGAAGATTTCGCGTATAAGCACAAGAAAGTGCAATGACTTAATTCTAAAGCTGATCAGTAAAGTTGTCATAAAAATAATCGAACTAATTTATTTTCTTAAAAGATAATTTTTAAAAATGCGAAGCTTTGACCATAGATTTATATTCAAATCAGTTTTAAATGCTTTATTTACCTTGTTTCTCAAATCTCTGAGCATTTTCTTGCTTGTTTCTTTTCATCTTAGTTATTAATGACCTTTATTTTAGCTGAAATTTTTTTTTATTTCAGCTATTACAAAAATCAGCAAACAACCTAATAGATTAATTTTAGTTAGGCTAATTTTAAAATAAGTAAAATAAAACAAAACTTCCTTCACCTTAACGTTCAATTCCGCAAGTGCGTCGTCCGAATTATAAACTGCACCCGACACTCTACCAG